TTCAAATATCGTCATAGGCTCAATCCTGATATTTTTAAGATTTTCTGATGATTCTCCAATAATGAATATGATTAGGTAGCGCTTTGAAACTTGAAACATATGTTCTAGAGTTGTTTTAATGATGATTTTGCCCGATTTTAGCTAGATTTAAAAAAAAATTTCATATACATGCTATTTTTCATATTTTTGACAATTTAAAACAACCCTGAATCATGGAAGAATTAACCTAGGGTCTAATTCTTTCCCCAACTGGCTGAAACACTTTTTCTCCCTTAACTCAACACTTCACAACACCAAGTCCATAAATACAGGCTGATTTCATTTACAGACATACACGTGAAGCTTTTAGACAAAATAATCAACAATAGATTATACAAACACCTCACCATTCAAAACAATCACAGTGCGAGACAAAATACTTTTAGGAGACACAGAGGGTCACGTACAGCACTAGGCTACATTCGCGATACCCTCGCCATACTCTCAGCACAAAAACATACTATTGACGTATAGTGGGACGCGAAGTGACCACGGCCTGCGACAAGGTTGAGCGCACCGGATTACAATACAAAATCTTACAAATCAACCTTTACCCGTTCTTTACCAAACACTTCCAGATTATCATGTAGACAAAACAGCATAGGTTATCAAGTTCTTCACTGCAACTCCACACTAGTGTCCCCCAAGGGGTTTTTCTCTTACACACTCTATCCAGCTTCTACGCCCACGACCTCCCACCGCCACTACACGACAAAAGTACATAGCTTTTGCAGAAGACATAACACAAATAATCGCCGGACATAACCAACACAGCCACGCAGCAGCACAAAGACAACAAGCCGTACAATAGATCAACACCTTCGGAAACAAACGGCTTATTAGGACGAACACAAATAAAGTTAAATCATCCTAATCATTAGGAAAAGCACTTCCGATATTTTCATAGACAACACCAATTATCTATACACGAACAAAAGATGATAAAACGTTGCGTGTGGAGTGAATATCTGCGCAGTTTTGAGTCCGTCGGGAAGACGGCAGAGTTGAGGCGATAACTGAGCTAGAGAGCATAAATTTCTTTGAACTGTGCGGACAAGTCGGCGCATATGTATGGTAGCACGGTTTTCCTTTTCATTTCTTTACTCATTTTTGATTCTTCAGGCGACCGTGGCTGACTTTCGGCAAAGATTTTTCAAGTTTCTCATAAAATTTATTTCATTGTATGAAAGTTTCTTTTGCGTTTGGCGTGTCAAATCCAAGGAGTACAGTGACAGGAATAAAGAAAGGGGAGGCCTATGAGAGTTCAGTGGACGAATTCAGGGAAATTCATGCAACTGCAAACAGAAAAATAGTTATAAAAATCAATTCTTTGAGGAGTGGTGGCCGTAATTAAGTGGTGATAGTGCGTTTCTCATACAAGTATTTTCTTTGATGATATGCAGTGTCACTAATTCAAATAAATAAAAATACGTTTCTATGTCCATTCTCAATTAGTTCCGCCAATCAATAGTATCAATAGTACCTAATCCATGACGATATCATGCAAAAGTTAGCTAAATATGCAAATATCTCTGCACCGCGTGGACGCTCTAAAGATTGCAACCTTTTCACTCCGTTTCAAGACTGCGCAGAGCAAAACGCAGCGTCTGGACCGACGTTTAAGCGCACCAAATCGATCTTGACGAACACGTTGCTGCTGTAGGTGTCGCACCCTCGTTTTAAACGCACCCAATCGCTATTGACCATCGAGTGTCTTTAGTTGGCATTCTTATTTTGTGGGTTCCCATTGACCATCAATAGGCTTCTCTTAAATATCATGCCATAATAATTAATAACATGCCAGTAAATTGATAAATAATAACTATTTAAACTATCTTCTATGGAAATTACGATGCCGTTAAAATTTTAACAGTTCTATGCATTTCAACCAATTAAACTGGGTAAACAATAGACAAAAGAACGGGAGTTTTCTGTGCTGTCAAGGGTTTTATTGAGATGTTCCTATTTTCATAGCGATATATTGGTATTTTGTGCTAATCATAGCCAGTCTTTCGTTACATTCGTATGTAAGCCGTAGATTCGACAATCGGCAACAGAAGCATACCTATAGCCGGCTTTAAATATGTTCAGTAAATTATCTTTCTCGCTGAATGTGATTGTACAATATGATCGCCGACTATGATCTTCAGCGCCGACGAAAAGCCTTGGATTTTTATTAGATATAATACTATCTTCATGTGTAACATCACCTTATTATTGCAGAAGAGTGTTGCACTAAACGGAACTTTTATTTATTATCCTTCTATTGCCTCAAACTCATAAATTCCTGTACATCATGTTCATCATACTGACGTTAGAGAGCCAATCGGTTTTCGGCATATACAAAATCGGATAATTATGGTTGATGTGATGGTAGTGGCTAGGCTTTTTCGAAGTAGAATTTGTTTACTTATAATAAACTTTGGACAACAGATTAAAATAACGTTCAAAGTAACATCAATATCGACTCAATGTTCAATCAGACATTGATGCAACTGATTACTTTTTGATTATCAGATGTATGGAAATTTTGTCTGGACATAACAGAGGGTAGGGTGGCTCGAAAACCAAAATTTTCGAATATTAAAATGCTTGACCTCAGGAAAGCTGCTACAAGGCGTACAAAATTTCAGGCGTATCGACCCAAAACAAGGCGTACAAAATTTCAGGCGTACAAAAATTTTCAGGCGTATCGACCCAAAACAAGGAGTACAAAATTTCAGGTCGACCGGGAAAGTTCTGTTGGTTGTACCATCGGTCTGAATTTTAAAATATTGAAATATTTTAATTAATTATAAATTTTATTAAATTGATCCTACAAAAAATGAATTCATTAAATAGTTTGAGATTTTAGCACATTCATATTTTATCAAGCAACTATGAATCAAAGTTAACTTTAATACAGGGAATTTATCAGGCTGAAAATCCTAATAAACTATAAAATCTCGTGTTTTTACGTAAATTAGAATACAAACCGCACTTTATATAAAATTAATACACAAGAAACAGTTATTTTCTCTCGAATTCATTTCAATTCATTACTATGAACATTTAATGCAATAGGAAATATAATAAGATTGACATCTTAAGAAACAAAAAAAATCACTAAGTTTCTTTTTTAAAGGAACATTGAACCGGTTTGAAACATGATTTGAATGAGCACCAATTAAACGCCGGGTGGGCGAGGCACTGGCAGCGAGTTTCAGCTGCATGTTGAAGTTCAGCTGTCGCATTTAATAAGGCTACTTCAACGAGTAAGCCAGAGGAATATACACGTTTTAATCACCTGTGTGACTTGAGTGACAAACTATTACCCACACATGAAGATCTCATCAAGTACAGTATTTATAGATGGTATCTACGAAAAAAATAGTGGTGGCAAAGATCCAGTAACACGCGATGTTTGTAAAATTATGACCTGAGACGTTATGAAGTCCTATAACTACGCATCGATTTCTTCGCAGACAGATATTCCAATTGCGCCATAACTGGAAAATAATAGGATTAATTATTGAAGAGTTATTGTTAACTAAACAAATCGCATCAAATTCCTGAATTACATATGCAGCGTCAAAGTGAGTGCCTTTTTGAGGATTAAGAAAATTTATTTGATTTTGCAAGTGTCTCTCTTTTGATTCTGTTATTTTTTTAATGATACGAAAGTTCCTATCATTGAACGAGAATTCTTACTTGAGCAAATGACTAAACGAAAAAATGAATATTCAACCACAAGATTTGCACGAATTTAAAAGAATATTAAGAAGAGTGAACGAAAGGGATGTCATAGAGAATTGGCGATGCCTTCATCTTAAAGACGGAAACTGCAAATGATATAATTGTAAGTGATAGCTCATCGAGTAATGCAAATTTCGTCCGGCTGAAACGGCAATGAAGAGGATTTGCTTGGAATCAGATGTTTAAAAAGGCGAGAATTGTCGAGGAAGCGCATATTCATATTGTCGAGGTCTCTCATATTCATATGAGAGACCACTTCACTGATTAAGTTATATGATTCAAATAAATGGATTACCTCGCCCTCATTTAAATCTTTGAATTCAAAACTTCGTGACCATGGAGCTTCACCGGACCATGCAATGTTCGTGAAAATCTATTTCGATTCGAAAGAAGAGCTAATGACGGTGAACTAGCTACGAAAACTCGAAAATTTAGAGCTCACAAGTAAATTCATGAACTACCGAAATATCTGACATAAAATAGAACTTATAAACTTCAAAATTACCAACACATGAAATCTTTAAGGAGGTCGGTTCGTGTGAATAGTCGGTTGGTGCGCGGTGAATGGTCGGTTTTAGCATGTTGAATGGAGGTTGGTGAGTGGTGAATGGTCCGTCGGTGCGTGGTGATCGAGATGGTCCGTCGGTGCGTGGTGAATGGTTTGTTGGAGCGCGGTGAATGGTCGGTCGGTGCGTGGTAAACAGTCAAAGTCAGTCAATGCATGGTGAAAATTTGGTCGGTGCGTTGTGAAGTGTCTTTCGGTTAGTGGTGAATGGTCGGTCGGTGCCTGTTGGAAGGTCGATCGACGCATGATACGTGGTGAATGGTCGGTCGGTTTGTGTTGAAGGATCGGTCGGTGGGTGTTGAATGGTTTGTAGGTGCATAGTAAATGGTCGGTTGGTGCGTGGTGAATGGTCTATCGATTGACCGTATATATAGCAGCAGCCTGCGGCTGCAGTTCAGTACATTATGGTTAGAACTCCGATGGGGATTTTATAAGAAACGTTGGCAGCTCTTCTAGCAGCATATTTGGAGGCATGAAATTGAAAGATTGTGCTCAAAAATTTGCAACTTATGTCTGTCAACATCAGGCCTCCGACCACCGAGTAACCGATAACCTCACCTTACGGTTCGCATTGACCATCCTTGTCTCACCTACCAATGACCGGAAGCTGAATAGGTAAACAGCTGCCCAATTGGTTACGAAGCAATGCTTAAGGCGGGACGGGATTTATGACCAACGGCAAGTTCCTCAAAGTTTATTAAATAACACATTCAACAAATAGTCTACTACGGAGCTAAGACGCGGAGAAGAGAGATAGCGAGCTAACTGAGGGACAAAGCTCTTGATCCTAGAAGAAAAATAAACATCGTAAGTACACTGGTAATTCAGACGCCTGATGACTACCCTACCAACGGCCTTCCATGACACCTCCTTATTTCTTCATAATATAAGCCACCTATCAGTAAACACACACAAAGTAAAAGTAACACAAAACACGGTAACACAAAATACAGTAACAGTATTTAACAGTAACACAAAATACAGCTCACCTAGGCGACTGTCAGGTAATCCCCTGTAAGCGAGGCACCAGTACGCAAGCCGGGATTGCCACAGCTACTACTACCAGCCTCGGCCTGCCTCAGCGCCGGTATACTTAATCTCTCCGGTCTGAATACAAGTAGGGAATTTGCAACCGACATACAACATTACAATGTCAATGGTTACATTGTCAATAGACTATGGTCAAGAGACTATGGCTTATTAAACCGTGTACTGTTCCTGCCCGGCAGATGTTTTGTCCAAGCACTCGGGTGCGGTAAGCACTAGGGTCTATCCAAGCACTAGTGTCCATATATTAGTAATATTAGTTAATGTCGAAAGCGACAAAAATGGTAATAATGCTAAAATTTGAAGCTTGAAGAACATAAATGAGAGGAGCGAGGTAAAAGAAACTTGCCGCGAGTCGACGTTTGGGACTTTAACATCCAACATAGCAGCGCCAAGTTAACGGATACAGTACCACTGGAGCAAAATTATCAGCTCTCATCAGCAGCAGTGGATCGGACAGAGTCCTCAACGAATTGTAGAGGCGTGTGCATTTGGAGACAGCGATCTGATAGCTGAAGCAGTCGCAACCTCTGCGCTCTTGATAGAAGTTGGTCACGAACATCATCTTCTATGGGCAAAGCGAAGCTTCTTCCAGCCTGAAAAAATATCAAGACGCAATTTGATTTCGAGTCTTATTTTAACTCTTTCATGAATATTAACATTTTATTTCATCTTTTGACCGAGTCATATTTTATTTTTTTCAATTTCCTTGAAAGCAAAAATCAGGTAATATTCAATTTTTATATCGCGCCCATGCAATGCGCTCAGTTAATCGTCACTTCTCAACTGCACGTGCATTCGCTATTAAAAACTCAAGTACGTCATTGGTTTAATGATTAGTTAATTTAATGTATTTTCTCTAGCCGCACTTTATTAAGACTAGAATGGGTCACTTCATTTTAAATATTTGTAACGCAGCTGAAAGAGATTCAATCTCCAAAAAAAAAAAACATTTGTCAGAATAACTTATACTTATTCGTTCTTAGCACGCACCCAGTCATGAAGCTGGCGCTGTGATAAAGTTAGTAAATGCCAAGTTCTGGCGAGGAGACGCGTTGCCAGAGGCAGTGTTTGCTCGGTAAGTGCATTGCCACACAATAGCTTGGACATCGCTGAGCTGCACCGCACATCATCTGAATATCGGTTGGTGAGAGAATCTCCAAAGAGAGCCCTCGTCAAGTCATCAATAACTTCGTAAATCCTCAGCAATGCTGACGTTGTGGAGTGATGACTTGATTTAAAGTCCTGAAAAATGGTTGGCCACAAATTGATGATAAAATATACAAAAATAAATCTGTAACAAAATGAATAATGTGAACTAACTTTCGGCTATTTTTCGATGAAAAACAAAGGCTAAAACCAATCAAAATCATTTTACAATGAAATCCATCGTGAATTAGAAGCACGAAAAAGTGGAAGTTTTCAACATACAAACTGAAATAAAATTTTCTGTGCACCTGATATATTTCTTCAAGTTTAATGGATGCCTCCAAGGAATAAAATTCCTGGAATTTGGCTTCCTGCCGCCACGCCAAATTCACGAGAAAGGAACAATCTTGAGCCGCCTCCCCGGTCACCGCTATGGCCGAGGCGGCGAGAATGTCTTGGAGCCACTTGAGGATGTCAACCACCGTCGAATTCACCACAGTGACTGCATGGTAGCAACAACAACGGGCTAATTTATTGTCTTAGCCAATTATAAAGAGATAATAATTTTGTGGTACAAAAATATATTGATACATGAGTGAAGCATCGAATTTAACGGTTCAATGAGCTACAAATGCCCCTCCGAGTAAATATCGATGAGAAGTGTAACAGACAGAATTTATAAAAAGCATCTTCGAATTTGGTCTTATACTCAATCATCCAAGTCGTTAATACTAATCTTTAGTGTAGAAACATGAACAACATATAATTATTGATTCTAATTTCACATGTATTTGAAACTGAAAGTTAAAATATATAAAAATCCTTTGTATGAACAATGTAGAACCTGTGCGCAATGACTGAAGCGACGCGGATGCAAGGGTTGAAGGCCATGCGAGTTTGAATTCGTTGACAGGAAGAGCATCTGCAGGGGAGAATGTTGATGATAGTCGTTGAAACGAAAACGCATTGTGAATGATATAGAGTAAAACGATAAAGTTATGAACCCAAAGCCGGTAAATACGTTCCTGAATAACAAATTATTTTAACTACGAACATGTGCACATAACTTTAGGATGTTAACTCTTGGGAACCGAAATATCTTTGTGATTAGAAGTGAGCACCTTTGAGTGAGTACAAAATACCGTTGTGATCGCGAGGAATGGTGATTAGAAGTGGAACACGACCGATATATTGCTGGGTTTCCATCGTATATATAGACTTGTTTGCAGGAGGTTTAGTGGCCATCAATGCCTCAGTGTCGGGGGCTTCATACATGGGCACCGCGGTGTCCAGCTCTCTCATTTGGACGTCTGTGAGCAAACAGTTTGCTAGACGCTTGGTGTCTGATGAGTCGGCGGAACGCAGGTACGGAAGCTGCTCAAGATCATGGAGTATGTATGGGACAGAGAAAATACACAGCAAGTAGTCAGGGAATGTTTCCCTAGTAACATACTCTATAATCGAACTTTTTAAAAAATAATTAGCAACTGATATATAGATCAACTTAAATCGTGCATCAGAGGTAGCGGGTGCTAATATAAGTCAGGGTTGAATTGATCATGGAGACAAGGTTAGAATCATAAAATAAAACTTTGATTCGCTTTCCGCATGAGATATACAAATCGGGGCCAGTTCCTTGGGATATTCACAAGTGGCTGAAGTGGGGAATTTGGGACAATTTGGCTGGAGATATTTTACAGGTCCGTTGCACAAAATGATTCTTTCGTATGACCGTTCTTTCAAGGAATGAACGGTCAATTGGTCAATGTATATAAAAAAATAGAATTGGGAAAATATTTCAGTGACCAGTAAAATTTTCAAGTATTTCCATAAATAATTGAATAAATTACAGAATAAGTGGAGATGACGTAACTTGCGCAGAACGACTCAGTAGAGTAATATTGTTGTTCATGCTGGGATCGGTATGTATAACAATTAGTTTCAATTTAGCAAGGAAATGTATTGACAAAATTTTGCATTTTATAATAACATATATTAGTTATAATTGTTGGCAGATTTGACAGTTGAATAGAGTGTACTCGGATAAAGGTGTTTACCTCCTCAGCCACAACAGGGCTCGTCTTCTCATGTTTGGCCATGGAAGAGCTTGCAGTCGGCATCACAGGAAGAGACAGGAAGTCGATGGTACAGTAACTCGGACGCGGTGAAACGTTGCGGTTGTCTTGGGGGGAATGGTGGTGCAAGCTCGACAACCCCAGTGGTGCTTCGAGTACCACTGGAAAAATTTATTTTATAATTGGTTTAGTTTGAGTAGTAATATCAAAATAAGTGAATTTTCCGAAGTCTCCGAGTTCCTCTTCTTGGAAGGATTCGATGTACAGGAAAGTCAATAACAGCCGAGGTGTCTCAAGTCTCATTGGAAAACAATATCAATTGTGCTAACAAGCCTAACTTCTTATATTATCCATAAAAATACCATAAATATGTTAATTGTTATTTTTATGCATATTATAATGATTGAATAATAGTCTCACAATTAGAACCGTCATAAATAGAATTGATATTTTTTAGATGGAAACTGTGGGTTGCAATTGCATTTCCCGAAGAAATGAAAATGGATTCTATCTTGACATGTGCCACCAGATTGAAGTTTTACATGAAATTTTCAATCAATAATTATAATTAGTCGTACCAACGTGGCGGCAGGGCTGAGAGAGTTTGTTGTTGTTCAGCGGAGTGCGCTTCACAAGGACGAGGACGAGAGCGTTACGTACGAGACTTGCATCGATGTTCTGCACCGCTGCTTCTACCGCAGACAGCGCCTAATGGGGAGTTGCATAAATTTACAAAGTATGAACATGTAGAGGAAATAAATGAAAATCACACCTTTGGGCACATAAATTACTTTGAAACTGAATTATTTGAATATAAATTCGAATCACTGTTGCTTAATTTCAACGGAAAAATGTGAACCAAAGCACGAGTTGTGATTAAAGATGATGCTAAAATTCAGGAAGGCACAACATTTATGAAGAGAAAACATTTTATTCGCTAGAATAAATCCAGTACTTTGTAAACCTTATCTTCGCAAATGGTAAGTGAAGCTCACAAACAAAAATGTACAACGTAAGTCATCGATCACTTCGTTTATCCATTGATCCAAAAATAGGACCACTTGTAACTCACTGTGACCGGCGTGTCCACGAGCACCACGTGTACGTGGTCTCTACGAACGGCAAGATGTAAGATTCGCTCAACGTCCATCTGCCGGAGACATTACCAACAATCATAAGAATCTGGGCCTCGATTGAAGATGTGAACTTAATTATAGCTAATCGAGTTCTAAATAACTAAATAACTCAAATATTTTCTCCGCTTTTGATCGGTATATTTTTTCACGCATGGACGCAAGCAAAATTTGAAGAAGACAAATAATTTATCACAGGTGATAGCTCTTCCGAGGAAGTTTTCTCTTGGGTCTGAGCGCAAAATAATATTGTACCGTTTAGATATTTGGTTTTTGATGGGATGAGTGGCCTATACAAAAAGTATATCATATATAATTTAGTATATATTATGAATCTTCAATCACAAAAAATTAAAAAGTTGATTGTCTGTGCATTTTAAATCGTAGGACGAGAGCGTTACGTACGAGACTTGCATCGATGTTCTGCACCGCTGCTTCTACCGCAGACAGCGCCTGATGAAGAGTGGGATAAATTTACAATGTATCAACGTGTGAAGGAATAAATGAAAATTTCATCATTGGGCATGTAAATTACTTTGAAACTGAATTAATTGGGAATTAATTTGAAACTGTAACACAAATTGGAATCACAGTTGCTTAATTTCGACGGAAAAATGTGATCCCAATTAAAGACGAGTTGTGGTTAAAGATGATGTAAAATTCATGAAGGAACAACATTAATCAAGAGAAAACTTTTATTCGATAGAATTAATCGAGTACTTTGTAAACTTTATCTTTGCAAATGGGAATTGAAGCTCTGAAGCTCAAAAAAATAAAAATGTACAACGTAAGTCATCGATCACTTCGTTTCTCCATTGATCCAAAAATATGAGCACTTATAACTCACTGAGACCGGCGTGTCCACGAGCACCACGTGTACGTGGTCTCTACGAACGGCAAGATGTAAGATTCGCTCAACGTCCATCTGCCAGAGACATAACAAACAATCATCAGAATCTGGGCCTCGATTGAAGATGTGAACTTAAATATAGCTAATCGAGTTCTAAATAATTTAATAATTCTAATATTTTCTCCGCTTTTGATCGGTATATTTTTTCACGCATGGACGCAAGCAAAATTTGAAGAAGACAAAGAAATTATCACAGGCGATAGCTCTTCCGACGAAGTTTTCTCTTGGGCCTGAGCGCAAAATAATATTGTGCCGTACAGATATTTAGTTTTTGAATTTTGGATAATAAGTTCACCCGAGAATATGTTAATCGGTGATGATACGAGTATATAAGCCTGCACATCATCAAACTAAAGGCAATAAATATTTGAAAGAAAAATTGAAGAAATGAGGCGATGAAAAATTTAGGCAATGTGGAGTCATGCACAAGTCTACATTATAAAAAAAAAATGATTAGTATGTTTCATGAATGAAACCTGCAGACGATTCCTATTTCGATGCACGCGCTAGGCTCACGATGAACCTGAATGCAGTGAAGTAAGCTAATGTCTATTTTCTATCTGAGTTAATGAGCGTTGAAGGGGAAATCAATAAAATGTAAAAGGCGATAAAACTTAAATGAAGAGAGGATCCGTTTCATCATGTGGAAATGTAGCAAGTCTGTGGCATGCATCACAAAATAATCAACTGTCTATTCTTAAATTACCAAAAACCAAACGAGAAATATTTCAAAGATGAAAAGAGTTAAGAATGAACGATCAATGGGTCTTTAACAACACCTGGAAATGAAGTAAGTCGGGCGCTGGTTTGAACCAGGCTTTGTAGTACGGAACACCGAGGTAAGAATGAACGATCAGTGGGTCTTTAACAACACCTGGAAATGAAGTAAGTCGGGCGCTGGTTTGAACCAGGCTTTGTAGTACGGAACACCGAGGTAAGAATGAACGATCAATGGGTCTTTAACAACACCTGGAAATGAAGTAAGTCGGGCGCTGGTTTGAACCAGGCTTTGTAGTACGGAACACCGAGGTAAGAATGAACGATCAAAGGGTCTTTAACAACACCTGGAAATGAAGTAAGTCGAGCGCTGGTATGAACCAGGCTTTGTAGTACGGAACACCGAGGTAAGAATGAACGATCAAAGGGTCTTTAACAACACCTGGAAATGAAGTAAGTCGGGAGCTGGTTTGAACCAGGTTTTGTAGTACGGAACACCGAGGCGCCTCAGAGCTGATCTCACAAGAGCGACGACGTCGGCATGCTCATCTCCACACCAGATCTGAGACCGAATGAAAACATACAAACTTCAAAATTGAAGTTACAATTTTTGTTACACATTTTCTCATATGCAAGATGCAATTAAAAATGATTTACATGCAAGATCTAAGTAAAAAATGTTTTTTTTTACCGAGATTTGAAACGCCTGGTAAGGCATGAGCTTTTCTTTGAGTGAGATGTTCGCCCTGCTCTCATTTCGAAAAATCTCCCAGTTACGATCAACAGCAATTCCTCAATAGATTACTTCGAACTGATCCTGTGAACCGATGAGCAGAACGCATTGAATAATCTATGATTACTAATATTTAGTAGCGTGATGGACCTGCAGAAGAGCATCACGTTGAGGCTCGACAGCGCTGCAGCGGCTCAGCTGCCGGCGCTGCAGAAGGCTTGCGGCGATTCTGAGGCCGAATATTACGAGTCAGTTTTTAAATGTATGAATAAATATTCCTATCTACGATTATTAATTCCAATCTCATTTTCGTACATTAAATAGGGTTACATTATAGCTATTGATATAATACCTTCAAAATATAATTAGGTTTTTGGGCACTTTTGCCTTATGAGGCACTCAGAACTTGGGTATTTCGTATAAAGATTCGCATATTAACAGAATCGAAGCAAATAATCAGCTATCAAAATTCAAATTGAAACAGGTAACACTCGCAACATTATGAATCTAGTATAATATAATAGAACTGCATTACCGGGCGGAAATTTAAAATTAAAATATTATCTCTATATATATACAGTAACAGCGTCCTCACTTCTCCTCCGGTCCGCGGTCTGGAACTGAGAGTTCCGGGACTACTTTGGCCAACAAACGAGAAGTCCAGTTTTCCAGATCACGATGGCATAAAACGTGGAACAGGAGTAGCATTCGCAGGTCCTGGGGGCAGGATTCTAATAAGAAATTGCGATATCACAGGTAAGCCAGTAATCCAACCTGTGCATCGTGGGAGTGCAACTTTCCTATAGCGTACGATAGATTCAAGATTTCTATGACAAACAAAGAAATGTGAGGAGGAGAAACTATACCAACAATGAAAACGAGAAAAAGAGAAGAAATTAGAAAAATAAGAAGGGAAAGAGACAATGTTTCCGTCATGAGAAGGGAAGATACCTCATTATCGAGGCATAAATATTTCCGAACGTTAGCGCATGATGAAGACTATTCAACTAATCTCCCGTCGCGGGAGTCGTTAATTCGCACTATTTACAGATTTATTATATTTATATAAAACAACAATCCAAATTACATTCAAAGTAATACTAGTAATATTAAGATTACTTCATCATAGTACAAAGGGATCAGAAGATCACATCAGATGATTAAACCAAAAAATTATTTCGAAATAGACTCCACAAGTGATGCAAACTCAAAATGAAAAAGCTTTCCATGCATTCCATTATCATGAAAATGTTCCAAAATAATCTATTAAAATTTGAATGAAATTTAACATTGAATTAGAAGCCACGTATTTACATCACACCTTGATCAAGTGATGCCGATCATAGAACAGATCCTGTAGTGCATCTTCGTCCAGACTTCGGTCATTAATTAGAATGTTTTCGACAAGCTTAACGAACTTTCTTCGCTGCGGAGAATATTCCCCATCTGCTTCTATTTTCTCGTAATCATCTCGTGAGGAATTAGGTTGTAGCTTCTGCTGCCCGGTCGTATTTGTATCCAAAGACAGAGCAAAGATTGTTGGACACTTCACAAGGAGAAAGTCGATAGCCTAAAAAGGAGGAAAGGTTTAAAATGTTGATTTCTCACATAATGCAATGAATTAAAAATTAAGCACTGGGATGAATATCAATATCTTTACTAGACATGGGCAATTTTGTTTACTATTATTTCGGATATATTTGTTCAGACATACGATGACAACTTGTTCAGAGAGGGGAAAAAATGCTGTCACCTGCTCGCAAGCTTTATGTTGGAGGGTGATTGCTTTCTCCGAGTTCGTAATTTTGTCATAAAAATCTTGGAACGCCAATGCATGATAAGCTATTCCGTCGTCCAACAGAGCAGACATAGCCTCTTCTGCGACCACTTCACTGAATGTTTTACATTCTAATGGGCTTGAGAATGAGGACTTATAATCCTGCAAATAAACTGAGTTAGGACAGCTCGATGACGGTCGAGGGCTCTCTTGTGAAGAACTCAACTGAAAATCGAGCGGTAAGGACGAATGTTTTTTAGAGAGACGTGGTAATCGATTTGCAGGCTGGGAAAACGATACGCTTCTCAGCAGTTTCTTTCTCTGTTCGCCTGTAATATTCGACAGATGAAAGCCCTGCAAGTCATCATCAACGCGCTTCTTGTCAACAATGTAATCCACTTCACTAAGAACCTTTTCCAGGCTTCCAGATATGAATTCGTCTATTTCCTTCGAATCGATGGAAGGCTGGGACTTACGTTCGTTGATTTCATTTTCACCATTGGTTAATTTTTCTTCAGATCCCATTCTGAGTTCTGAGACATCCGAGTCAATATCAGAGCTTGTTAGTTCATCATCGAGTTGATCTTTCAGAGCAGAGACGAGCAGGCAACACCGCGTCAACTGTCGACTATCCTCATGTAAACGAGGCTCCACCGCCTCCCAGAGTGATGACCAGATCACACTGCGGTGGTTATCTGCCGAGTCTGATAACGGCGATCCTGACTTAGTATGTTGTCTTTCATGTGTAGTAATATAATAAATGTGTGTAAGAGCGGTGCGACGATGCGTAAATTGAGCTTTTTCTGGCAATGGTGAAAATTTCATCGGACATGTTATGATTAAAAAGATCGAATACATGGATATGGATCAACGTTCATGAGCATAAGCCATTCAATAGGTAGAGCTCTTTGGAGAAGAAAGGCTTACTATTGAGCTCATTGAAAAGGTACTGCATAAATTCCGGATTTCTGCCTCGTTTCGAATCGATGGAAGACTTGGACTCACGTTGATTAATTTCATTTTCATTATTGGTTGATTTTTCTTCAGATCCCACTCTGAGTTCTGAGACATCCGAGTCAATATCAGAGCTTGTTAGTTCATCATCGAGTTGATCTTTCAGAGCAGAGACGAGCAGGCAACACCGCGTCAACTGTCGACTATCCTCATGTAAACGAGGCTCAACAGCCTCCCAGAGTGATGACCAGATCACACTGCGGTGGTTATCTGCCGAGTCTGATAACGGCGATCCTGACTTAGTATGTTGTCTTTCATGTGTAGTAATATAGTAAATGTGCGTAAAAGCGGTGCGACGATGAGTAAATCGAGTTTTTTGTGTCAATGTAGAAAAATCTCATCGTGCATATTATGATTAAATAGATTGAATACATGGATATGGATCAATGTTCATGAGCGTAAGCCGTTCAATAGGTAAAACTCTTTGAAGAAGAAAGGTTTAATATTGAGCTTATTGAAAAGGTACTGCACTAATTCCGGATTTCGGCCTCAAATGTGAATATTGTGATCATTTTGGTGCACTTTTATCGTATGCACTTACCTTTTCCTAGGTTTTGACGTGCGCGGACCACGAAAATATCAACGAAAAGTTGCAGGTCGGGAACTACAGAAGGCAAGGCAAATCTGTGTCTGCGCTTGACGAACTCCTGCACTCTCTCCAGCGCCCGCCAAGCTCGCCCTACAGCCACGGCCGCCGGCGTCCATAGACTTCGGACCTCGCGGCAGACCTTCCTTAATTGCTTCTCTAGGACGTCCACTTGGGCTCGAGACTGAGAGGAGGTTTCGAACGTTCAATAATAAGTTAAAACTTTGCTCAGAATCATTTCAACAATTTAAATGTTCCAGATGATTTAAATGTAGTCTAAATTGGCTGTTATTCACGTCTCTACTCAGATAACTGTGTGAGACAATGTCCAAATATCGATGCACCTTCATCCGTTGTGTGGTTCATATTGACCACTTCAAACACAGAAACTGGCGTGCCAATGACCCGTGTAGAAAGTGGTTCTTAATTTGGACAATATGGCCTCTTCATTCTTCTGAGTGTTGATTTAGTGAGACTCGTCGTCATCACACGATTTTTGTTCCAAATTTTCCAGCTAGAATAGTGGAGTCGTTCCCGAGTTTATTGAATAATCGAAACTCCTTTTCCCTTGTGTAATGATTATTCATAAAGCTAGAAGCGAGAAAAATAACCATTGACTAGACAAAATCTGCGCTGCAGTCATGAATGCACTCGAAACTTGAAAATCAACGCGTTATTAATGAGCGTTGAGTACTATTTAAGAATACTAATGATAGGAAATTGCTTTTTAAAATTAAAAAAATCAACATTTTCGAAACTTTGTGCTCATAAAAATTTTTCGCCAACATGTCCTCTGATACAGAAATTTCAAATTTGTTATATACTATAAATATAATTTAGAACATTGATGCTGAGTGAATCAAAGATTAGATTCGTCCTTCACTACACGAGCATCCTTAACAGTTAAACAAACCAAAAATTTTAGTATATGGCACAACAGTATATGAAGAATGAGCACCTCTTCCAACTGCGAGATGACAACGTGCAGTTTTTCCAATGCCTGAGTAGACACGGCAGGAGATTCTATGTCCAGCAGAACGTCTTCACACTTTGCTCTGGCGTCGTGGTAGCGGCGGCGCATGTCCGTGTGCTGACGTAGCATGGTCTCGTCATTACATTTTTTCGTCGTGAGACGAGTGAGACTCGTGAGACTCGTCGTCATCACACGATTTTTGTTACAAAATTTCAAGTTAGAATAGTGGAGTCGTTCCCGAGTTTATTGAATAATCGAAACTCCTTTTTCCTTATTTAATGATTATTCATGAAGCAAGAAGCGAGAAAAATAACCCAGGACTAGACGAAATCTGCGCTGAAGTCTTGAATGTACTCGTACTTTAAAAATCAACGTGTTATTAATAAAGTCTAGTAATTTTAAAGAAAACTAATGATGGGAAAATGCTTATTTTTTAAATTAAAAAAATTAAACAGTTTCGAAAATTTGTACTCATAAAAATGTTTCCCAAACATGTCCTCCCATCCGGAAATTTCTTAACATGAACTATAATATAATTTAGAATATTGATGCTGAGTGAATCAAAGTTGAGATTTGTCCGTCACTACAAGAGCATTCTTAAGAGTTGAAAAAACCAAATATTTCAGTATCTGAGACATATCATAAAGAATGAGCACCTCTTCCAACTGCGAAATGACAACGTGCAGTTTTTCCAATGCCTGAGTGGACACGGCAGGAGATTCTTTGTCCAGCAGAACGTCTTCACACTTTGCTCTGGCGTCGTGGTAGCGGCGGCGCATGTCCGTGTGCTGACGTAGCATGGATACCAGCATAGCCTCTTGGCAGGAGTTGTCAGGGTCGTAGCGAAGGAAGGTGCGTACCATGAATTGAACCAATTCCTGTTGTTCAAAGAATACATTTTAAAAATAATGTGTTATATTTTAATTATTATCCTGATTGTATTTTTAGGAATAGTTTGTGAGATCATGATTGCATTTATCACTCACGTATAATTGCTCGTTACGGTCTACATAGTCACCTGGTCCTCCAAGGCAAGGTTGACCACCTTGGCAGACGTGCACAAATCACATGGTAAACTGAGACAAGTGTCTTGGAGAACAATGCAGATACGCACACCTTCGTCTGCAAATAGAGAGAAAAATCCCCTTACTCCCTTACAATTCCCTTACTAAGGAAATTGACGTGGAGAGTCAATAAAATGAGATCATATTAGCAGAGTAGTAGAGTAGTAGAGTAGAGTAGTTGAATCTTCTCATGAAGAGTTTAAAAGTACCAATCTTTAACAATAACAAAATCCAAGGAATTGCCTGGAACACGCGTCGAAATCTTTTCCAATAACGACAATAGCGTTTGACAGTCCTGGTGGAAGAGCCTCAATAGCAATCGGTGTCCAGCAAACTCATTGGATGATTCTTGTTGTTCCTCCTCAGTAGCGACGTTGGTGTTCTCTCCAGACCGGGAGTTGTGGATCTCGTTGGCTAGTTGCGTAAGGGCATCAATGCTGGTCCACCGGAAAGAGGACAGATATTCCGTCACCTGCACAAACGAATTTCATGTCAAAAGAAGCCAAAAATTGAGAATCGTTTCTCTACAGAAGTCACTCAGTAGAAACCTTTCAGATATATGAATGTCAGAAGCGTGCTTTCGCGCCCCTTCCACATTTTTCTTACAGTTTTCCTTGTGATTTCTGTGCATCTTTTCACCCATAATTATTACATATTTATGAACGCAGTAATAAACAATGGAACGGTCACCAAACTCTTATATTCATGCGATTCTTTAGATCTGAGAATGTCGATGTCTACCGTAGTTGGGAGTGAGTTGCGTGATGTCTGTTGGTCTTGTCTTAATAATAGTGTGACACCAGAGAAAGGTAGACCTCATGAAGACTCTTCAGTCTCGCCAATAACTTGGTCTGTGAATTGTGGCTGCCGATTACATTCCAAGTGAACAGAAGTTATTTCGACAGATATCATGTATGAGAGTGTTCTCAATGAGTATTTCGAAACTTTAGGATTATTTTGAACCAATATACTTGTATTTAAATCGGCTCTTAGTTTGCAGCCTAGAGATATGCCAGTGAGATGAACAGCTAACAGAAGAGCAAAACTGCAACCACCATATCCGGTAAACATCGTCTTGTTTATTGCAGAAGACATCTATACGCGTAGTGAGCCATGAACGAATAGAATTATCGAACAGCTGATCAATTGTAACTTAGGAGCCGTGAAATGATTCTCGTCTTCGACGAAATTCCCCCTCGGTATTTCCTAGCAATTTTAATTCAGTCGAGGTGAAAATAACAAATTTAAAGTAATAATTGAATAAATGTATATCGTTTCGAGGACGGCAAGTTGAGTTATGACTCGGCGGTAATGATGGCAATTAGTTCTAATACAAAATAATGAATCCTGTTTGTCTTAATACTCACTAAATTAGGAGAAGCATATAGGGGGATGCCTTCATTATTGAAGACATCAGAAGATCACAAGAAAAAAGTCACATAAATTGCATGAATATCATTGGTGCTAAGACAATTTAAATACTTCAGTGCATTTTACACACCTATATCAATTTTGCTATTAGTCATCACCAACAACACACCTGAAATACTAATTCATACATGAATAATGTGCTGATATTTTGAATATAACATTAAATCCTTATTTTAGAGAAACGAGTGTCATTAAGTTTTTTTAGCTTTCACTCTATTATCTTGTTAATTAATTAGTGTATAATAATCTAAAACTGCATGCAAACGTAACTTGTCCAAATTGCGATTAAACAAAAATGCAGCAAACACTGCGTTATAAGTGCACTAACATAAGGCACTAGAGAGGGAAAAGATAATGAACCATGACTACCACTTACCACATGACTCGGGTCCCTCACAATCACCACTCATCACATGACGACTGATGTCCTTCAAAATCACCACTCACCACATGGCTCAGGTCCCTCACAATCACCACTCACCACATGGCTCGTGTCCCTCACAATCACCACTAACCACACGACTCATGTCCCTCACAATCACCACTCACCACATGGCTCGGGTCCCTCACAATCACCACTCACCACATGACTCGGGTCCCTCACAATCACACAACTGAAGGCGTCGCGCAGAGCGTGTTCTGTCTCTTATACACATCTAGATGTGTATAAGAGACAGNAGCTGTCTCGCCTCGCGCTGCTTCAGGCCCAGCTCCAAACTCTGCTGCGAGTAACGAACGTGGTGATTAAACACGGGAATGTAGAATAAAAACGTAAGTAATTAGATACATTGTGGGGTGGAATGAACTGTCTCACCTCGCGCTGCTTCAGGCCCAGCTCCAAACTCTGCTGCGAGTAACGAACGTAGTAATTAAACACGGGAATGTAGAATAAAAACGCAATTAATTATATACAATGTGTGGGTGCAATGAACGGAACATTTTAAATGAAATTAACTTGCAAAGGATCAATTTTTTCCTCTAATCTGAATTCATTTAAGGAAACTAGCTCCCAATATGAGCAATTTAAGATTTAATTCATACTGAAAAATTTATTGACAAACAATTACTATGTCAAATAATATTAAACCACTGCAAGTTGTGAAATTTTTATATTTAAACTTAGCGTTCCATATGCATAATTACAGACGACATTTCAATTATATAAAATACAACTAAGGATACGACTTCAGCGAAGTATAAGGCCAATATTGGAGATTAATCATAAAAGACAAGCACAAAACATTAGGAAAAGTATTATGGGCCTGATATCATTTCTGAACGAAGTCAGACGAATTGTCTGTATAATTGTCTAGAACGAATAATTAGATAAACCTGGAATCGAACAAAATATTTGCTACCTACGTTAAGAACTGAGAAAACATTAAATTATAACTCAATATGGTTCACCTGAGTGTTGTTTTCCTTAAGTCGCTGCACTCGCTCATATCTCGGACACAAGTCCTCGCGATGTCGCTTCCAGAAGCGCACGGACTGCTGAAGGTACGACAACAGCGTCCCGCCGATGTCGCTAACGCGGTACATGTGCTCCACCGACATCTTGATTTGCTGGTGTACAATGGAGATAAATTTCTCTAGGTATATGAAGTGGAGTCACTACGTTTCAATACTGGAATTCCCTTGTTATATTAATAATAATCCATCAGAGTTTTCCCATTGTGAGTTTTTACACAAGACAGGACGCTCGGTAAGCATCATGATATGCTGGCCGCATATGAAAACAGACTAGACGTTCTCTGTATCAGCATCGGAGAGACGTTTGATCGCCACTAAAATGACGTCATATGGCATAATTATATAATTTCGACCAGTGAATGGATCCAAGAAACGACTTCGAAAATTGAAATTTCAACCAATTTCAAAAAGTTGTAAAATTCGTTAAAAGGAAAAACTTAGAGCAAAACAAGACAATATGTGTTAAAAGAAAAACCACGAAGTAGAAGAAATAACTTAAAGCAAAGAGAAGAACTTGAGGGCACTCAAAACACTACCAAAATATAGTGAATTGTCTTGCAATGCATATTCTGATCGACAGTTGCATCACAACTATGAATTAAAATATTAAATGAAACTACAACACATTTTCATCATTTGAATTTAGTTTCTCTTCTTTAAGTATAGACCAATTGACGTGATGGTCAATAAATTTCTTTACATTCGCATCATTTACGGCCGCTGGAGACGCGCTTACGTCAAGTCGGTGCGTGAGGAAGGCGACGTGTTCATCAGTGAGCGCCGTGACGTCGAGCTGTCCAAGTCTGACGCAGAAGTTGGCGTCGTGAGTGGCTTGTCTCACCGCCCGCATGCTCACGTCGCTCGACCCCAGCAGGTACACACAGCACTCGAACATTAGCTGGATGGCGGCAATGGGCGACCGAGACCTATCAAGTATATTTGATGTTAAACATATACAGCGAACAATACTTCTTAGGAAATTAGAATTAATTAATTAAGGAATTAAATTAATTAACTCGTTCAGTAAATTAGGAATCCTAGAAAGCATTTGCTGTGAACAGTATTGGATATATGATGCGTAGTATGGTGGACTCTCATACTTAAGTTATGTCCATCACATGGACACTCTAAACGTGGGCTAGACTTAAGTGGCCAGCAGAAATAATTGCCTGTTTCGCGCTCACAATTGCCAGTTTTACTCTCTCGATTGCCTGTTATGCAGTCACACTTGCCTTTTTTACTCTAACAATTGCCTGTTTCCGCTAACAATGACCTGTTTTGCACTTACAATTGCCAATTTTACTCTCACAATTGCCTGTTTTCCACTTAAAATTGCCAGTTTTACTCTCACAATTATCTGTTTTGCACCCACAATTCGTACTCCCACAATCGCACAATTTTGCACTTACAATTGCCAAGTTTTGCACTCACAATAGCTTCCTGATCCGCGCCATGTCGAGCTCGGCCAGCTGTGCCACGGCGGCGTCAAGGGGGGCCTTCAGCTCTGCTCTGAACTCATTGACCTCGGTCTCCATCTCTTCCACGTAGGTTTTGAGTCTTCATGAGGTCTTCATAGGTACCGAGCGCAGATAGCCGAGCAATGCACTGCTCCAGCTTTTTTTTCTTGAAAAGAAAATAAAAGGAGACAAGGGTGCAATTCTCGCAAAATAGTAGCAAAAATTTCTTAGACTAACATGGTGATTTTATTTTTAGGGGTAAACGGTAAAAGTTATGGATGATGTAGACGATGCAGAAGCCCTGTGTTTGAGTTGTGGAACTCCAATTTAACTTTGTTAAGTTCATTTTTCATCAAAAACCGAAAATTGTAAATCATATTGTTTCACACTGCATTCGGTGTTTGTTTATCACCCTGATAAGAATTATCACTACGTACGAAATATCACGTACCTTATCATTAAATTTACAAGTTTTCTTTTCGTAGACTACTAAGAAATAATTAATTGCCTCTTCAATATTTTCAACCCCAAATTTCTGGACCGGAACACCATCAAGCAAAGGATTGCCTTGTTCTTCTTCCTCCGAACCAGCGACTGGATTCGGAGCAGCCGTAAGGCATTCTTCAGTACCTCCGGATTCTTTTGAATGTGATTCAAGTTTCCCGCCCTTGCTATCAACGGGAGTCTCCATATTGATAGGCTTCCTGTCATCGTCTGAAGGAAGCTTGCCCAAAGTCGACGAGACCAGGCCTGGTTCGAAATTCTCGACATTTTCGTCGGAGATGAGTTGATCCGAAATTAAACTTATGCTCCGATTTTTCTCGAAAGAAGAATTTTGTAATTGGTGGACTTTGGTGAAAAACGACGCTGATGCTTCGATGTCCACCGTAACGTGCATTTCATAAGTGAGCTGGAGAACGACAAAAAAATCAATAGAAAATGATGTGGAAATTAAAACATTCGTCTACGTATATTTAAACTGTTTATTATATTATTCGTTATTGAAAACCCGCAACAAGAGTAACCGAGAGTTTCAAAAATGTGGAAAATTACTTGATGATTTGAAGCTTCACACTAGGTATAAATTGCACAATATAAAGAAACTGCAACATCAGCATGAACATGTGAACCCATAAATTACACTCATGGAATAAGTTTGAAGTCAAGATAAATCACTTTCAAATTTTTATTTAGTCTACTAAATTTTGTTCTCCTGAGCCACTGTCATGAAACCGTTCAAACTTATACATGAAACCGTCCGACCTACCTTTCTCAACAGAGATGTTGTGAAGTCTTGGTGTAGCTCAGATGGAATTTCCGGCAAACTCAATACTGAAGAGCGGAGCAAGATGGCATTCAAGCTTTTGTCCAAGGAGTCCAGCGAGCGGACCGAGCACTGACCAACCACCACAATGGGACTGGTTTTACAGATGCAATTGCCTGAGTTGCACCGGTCGTTTCTGATAAGAAATGTCGAATCTACTTTTTAATTTTTCAGTGAACATTTGTCGATATCAAACATAACAAATTAAGTTAAACTGTACAACGTCAAATTGTGCAGAGCACATTAAATTGTGTAAATTAGATAATTTTATACCCTTTTTATTCGGCGGTCGATCATTTCGACTAAATTCTGGTACGAAATTTTACTTCACAAAAAAAAAACATGAAGACCAAATTACCTTCGGTGTTGACGTACCTTGAATTGATCGCGAAAGAATTGCAGTAAGTGGCGAACATTCTCAATGTATCTGGAACGCAGTACAGAATGCGGTTATTCATGGTAATTGTAAAACTTGATTGCTGAGCATGCTATTTATGCTCATTATATAGTATGCTATTTATGCTCATATTTATGATCCATTAAAGGACCGAGCTCCCGTTTAACCTACCATTATCTGCAAGCCAATCCGCGCGGACGTATAGAAGCGATCCATCGCGGCCAAAACAACGCTGGAAAGCTTCATCGAGCAGCATGCGGCAACCGTCAACGACCACAGTTCTGCCTCTCACGTCGTGGTTCCTGTAGCTCTCGGAGGAAAATTGAGAGTTCTTGGCTTCAAGGCTAGGAACATCCGTTTCCTGCGATAAACAAATTCTACAGTCCATTTGGTCTTCAATTTTTTCTTGCTGTTGGGCTAAAAATTTCAAGTCGGTTTCCGTCAGAAGATGGCAACGTTTATTCTCGTCAATGAGATGTCGTAGAATTCCCCTGAATGCCTCGGCACTACAGGGCTCAATCAAGCACAGGCCTGCGAGTCAAAAGTAGTATTCAAATTAATGCTAGTGACGTTTTTTTTATCAAGTTTGGAAGTATAAGATTGGAATCACAATAAAAACCATACCTTTGCCTTGCAAAAAACTCGGTACAGTCATTAATGGCAAATTCATTAAAAACTTCAAATGATTTAATTCTCATTAATTCAGTACACTTTTAACGTGGAACCTTTCTTGTGCAATCTTGGGACGTATGTCTTGGAACCTTTCTTGTACGTTTTGTATATACATTCTTCATACAAAACGTCATAGGAAACAATACAATAAGACGATTTGATCGGTACAAGACATTTGAGATACAAATGTAAATTATCACAAAAAATAATTACCTGAACGACGGGACATGCAACGAAGAGACCTAATACCGTCCAAATTTTCAGCTTCTTGCAGGAAAACGCACGGAAGACTGTCAGCGGGACGGGGATGCAGCGGGCAGATGTCGTCCAAGTCTTCAATGAACTCAAAAACATCATTAAAGCATTTCAGATATCCCGCCTCGGATTTTCCTTTATCACTTGATATTTTATTTATGAAACATGAACATTTTTCAAGCGTTCTTCTGCTGCTCGGAGATTGCGGTTGGAACAATGCCAATGTTCCGTTTAACGAATCTTGTTTCATAGCATGCAATCGAGGGAACAAAATTCCCGCTAAATGCTGAGCAGACCATTCGAGGCCTGGATGCAGGGCTGCTGAGTTGGCTTCATGCTGCTGGGAATAAATGTACTGTATAAATTATGAACGTGATATCAATCAAAAAATTGGCTAACCGTATAATAATTTACCCTGGATGTGCTGTGAAATATCAGGGATCTGCGACATCATTTGCGGCACGATCGGATGACAACGATGAATATCCGTTATCCTGAATTTAGCTGCACAGTGCACTAGACTCACCTTAAATTTTTCTCGAAAAGCGCTCATAGTTAGAAATTCCACGCATGCGAAGTTGGTACACATGCCTCTTTGGGCGGGTTCATCTGTGTGGTTTTCGGCGATGGGGTTGATGGTCGATGGTTTGAAATGTAGGGCTGTAGAAGAGACCACGCTATTTTCATCGCAAGTGGAAGTCAATTTGCTGGAATCAGAAACGTTATTAACATTCGATTTCACGTCGTCGCATATGGGTGCTGATGATGAAGTAGTTGTCGGACTCTCTGATGAGTCTGAAACAATAAGATGTTCGGTTGTCTTGAAGGTTTCAGACGCATCATCGAGGCAAATTTTTTCCTTTTCGATGACAATAGTGCTTTCTTCTTCGTCATAGATTTGTTGAAATCTATTCGCTCTATTACGCGTTTCTGCGAAAGAATTCGAGAGCTTTTCTTTGATTGATGAAGTTTGCACTGGCGAAACATTCGTCGTCGCAGTACATCTAACATCCGCAGTACAAATGAGAAGAGGAGGATCGGTGAGTGCGGGGTGGAAGGGCACCTGCAGCTCTTCGATGACGTTCAGGAACTCGGACCAAACGGCTGCTCTCAGCTGCAAAAGTGAAACTTCCTTGAGAAGCTACGGAGAATCACAATTTTTCAAACGACTAAAATTTACATAAATTTGGCATAAAAAATTACGTTTATTCCAGATTCTTAATTCGATATGGAAATAATACGAGTACCCGAGATGTAGGTGCTGCGTAGTAGAACAGCGAGAGGAGGCCGTGCAGCCAAAGGTGCAGGGAGTCACTTGAGGAGAATGCACCTGAAGAATTTATAACATCTATTGAACAGATAAAGCAGTGAGGGCAAATAAAATTAATTTAAATATATATTTTACTTCTATGTACTGCTATTTTGAGGTCGATCAGTCGGATGCAAATTTGCAGCAAGCCTACGAATATTGGAAATTTGTAAATACAAAATTAAAACTTAGTAACAAAATTCTATGAAAAAACACAATAAATATAGCGAAACTCCGCGTTAGAGATTTATATTAGCAATCTGAGAGTCAAAGGTGCTTGACTGTGTCATGTTGGATGGTGACTAGTAGGTAAAAGATGAGAGTTAATAGCACTGAACACGTTGATGTGATCACTCACTTGGGCATGTTGTACGGTGGGCGTTGACAAGAGACAGGAAAGTGTTTGCCGCCCTGTACACGTTGGTGTGAAGATGTTTTTGCACATATGGAAAGCTCTTCAATTCCTGCATGCGCTGTAATGAGTGGAAAATATACACGTTTTTTTGTCAGCGACGTTATATTTTGCAGAAATAACAAAATATATCTTAATATGTTAACAGTTAAAGTGAAAGTATAGATAATACTCCTATGTTTGATTTTCTCATGGAAATGATTTCCATTCTTCAGGTAAAGCACAGCTACAATACTGCTATCATACGAGTACATGTGTTACTTCCAACATGTCATTGCATCGAGATTTGGGCGCAGATTTTAAATAATTCTGTTGATTTGATGCCTTGTGATGCCTTCGGGACGACATGACTTGTAACTTTTAAGTTGCCTTATACTGGAGTTGGTTTCAAATTGTAACTTTTAATCAATTGCTTACTTCAATAATACGGAGTGAAGCTTCATTCAAATTGTATCTTTTAATCAATTGCTTACTTCAATAATACGGAGTGTAGCTTTATTCAAAATGTAACTTTTTATCAATTGCTTACTTCAATAATACGGAGTGTAGCTTCAGCCAGTGTAGTATGCAACAGATCATCTGCGTCATCAAAGAGCGGGGAGCAGCACCCGACAAGCAAGTCCACCAGGTCCCCACGCTCGGGGGGACACAGGAACAAAACGTGCCACTTGCTCGACAGTTGCAGGGGGGCGGCGTTCCCAACAGCGGGGGAGTCAGCAACGCTCGTCGCGATGATCTCTACGGATACAAAAAGGAATTAAATTTGAGCTATAATTAAGAATTACTTTCCTGATTTTTAGCGCATTTGCTCATTTATGGAAAAAAGGCGCTATTGCGCTCGTCATGTCTGTCCGTCCGTCGAGAAAATGCGCTCTCTGTCACTCACTGCAGTGAGTACTGATTTGATTTTTTTCTGATTCAATCGATGAAATAAAAATTAATTTGTTAAACATGTAACTTAATATAACCATAAGTGAATGTGTTGATGGAAAAAAATAAAAAAGTATTGCGCACTGACTTTCTGCTTTAGCTGGTATTGCTTGCCGAGTTGGATTCTTATATAATATAAAGCCTATATATAGCAACAAGCAGTATAGTGCTTGATATTTTAGAATAGCTATATATAAATAAATAGTGCTGATTGCTCACTGTTATCCTAACGCCGAGCCGACTGCGCACTGATATTTTGGAATAGTTTCGGCTCATTGTACTCCGATATTCTTATTTGTTTACTAAGGACTGCTCACCGATATAATGCTACGGTTATTACGGATAGCTTACTGATGTTCTGGACACGGAACCACAGATGAGGAGGATGTGGATCAAAGAAGCCTCCATCGCACGCTATGCTCTCTAGCACCGCCACGCACGCTCGCTGAAAAATTTTTACAAATTACAAATTTCAAATCTGAATTTGAAATTAATTCAAATTCAGTATCTTCGAACATGAGTGTGAAAAAAGGGTGAAGTGAAATAATTCTACCTTATTTTGAAATTGACGAAAAAATTTTTACTTAGTCCTGATGCTATTATTGAAGGAAAGCATATAAATAATTAATCGCATAAACTCTGGATCTAAAATTCTCACAAATTTGTTGAATTAAGGTTAAAATATATTTTTCTCTGTTCTGTACTATCTCTAAATAAAACGTTCATATATTTTTTTTATTTAAATACGCCTCTCTATCAAGGCCACCACTGGAATATTGAATCTCAATTCTTAACCACAAATGAATGACAATGTTCGTAATTGGATTGGGAAAAATAACAGATTTTAACATAGAAAGTTTAACAGGAAAATACGATTTATGAGACGAAGTGAAAACTTCTAGCTATGATGCCTAAAAAACTATTAAGCTTCTGTCATAACCAAGCAACCTAGGTGACGTATTTACATATTTTAAACATAAAACACTGTATGAATTAAGTGTTGAAAAGAAGACGCACGCTGACGAGGTGAAGCCTCCTGACGAGGATGACGAGGGGCGTGGCGGGCGCGAGGACGGCGATGCTGGGGCGCGGCAGGACGTGCAGCAGCAGCAGCCGCAGCTCATCTGACGTCATCGTTGCTCTGCCTCGTATCGTCATGGCGGCCTCAACATCGGCCAAAAAATCATAATTTAAATTTCGGTTTAAAAGTGTCAGGGAGAGTTCAGAATGTATTCATTAATATTCATTAAATGAATCTAAACAAAATTTTCTTACACCAATATCTAAATCGGGTGTTACACCAATGATTAATCTTAATATGTGAACTATTCACCTGCTTTAAAATTAATCGCGAGTATCTTAGAAAAAAAATATCGCAGTAATCGCCAGTATCTTCTTCAAAATTCTCGTTAAGGATTATTAAGAATGTCTAACCCATTCCCAATAAAGGCACCATTTGTGTAATTTAATTATATGTTTTGTGGAGTGCCGAAAACATAAATTTGAATCTAGAGAGCAAATTAATGACCATGTAACCCATATTAACAAGAGTAACTATATAATTAATCATGCAGCTGCCCACCATGCCTGAGTTGCGCAGCGCGCGCAGCAGCAGCGAGTGTTTGCCTGACGCGGGCGCTCCCAGCACGAGCATCGCGCCGTCCGACTTCTGGAAATTTGTTGCCGAGGAATTGAAAAGTTATGAGGATTTATTTAATGAAATGAAAAGCTCTGAGGATTTAATTAATGAAATGAAAAACTTTGAGGATTTATTTAATGAAATGAAAAACTTTGAGGATTTAATTAATGAAATGAAAAGCTCTGATTTATTACAATAGAAAACCGTCGTTCTATTGGATAGAAGATCATACAATTACATTAGACATTTAGGTAAATAACGATTTCAAGAATGATATCGAAAAATAATAAAATATGATGCTATTTAACCAGAAGATATGAATGTCCATCATCGAATACGCAAGCTTCAAGCTGTAGAGCTGTAGACACGAAGCGATACGATTAAAATTTTTTCACATAAGCATTGGAAATGGTTGATCTTAGTCCCACCTTCACCACAAAAGGAAAGAGCCACTCAAATCTTCTACTGGAAACGGATGTCACAAATTCAAAACTTTGATTTCTGCCATCTTGGGACTTAGTTTCACTGTTAGGACGAAGATGTACGTCTGTGGTTGTTGCGCCGTCCGGTGTTTGAGAAATCTGAGTCACGGGTTCACTTTTCTTCACAGATCTTGAGAGATTGCCGAGCGGTTTATCGTCCACAGGGGAGCAGGATGACGGCTCTTCGTCAGGAGATAATTGCCGCCTCAAGACGCGTTGTTCAGAACTGCTCGCTGGCGACACGATATCGGGACAAAATTCTGTCCAGTTCACCCACTCGCATCGAGAGATGACAAATTTTAAAAAATTCGAAGACGTTCCCGAAGACGCGAACGTTTTCAAATCTGGAATAATAAAATAAGATCTCTGGCTAATGCGCCTCTATTCTATAAAAGTAATTATCGGCAGCGATAAAAATTTCGAATTCAAGTAAATAAGTTACCCCCTGAATCATTCGGCTTATAAACAAAATTAATGTACTCTCATCAATATAAACTTTCATGTCATCGGAAATAATTGCTAGGCTAGGCCTTGTCTAATAGTGCGGTCAGATCACGGTCAGATTTCAACTTTGTGTACATCGCCTGAAATTCTTACGGTGTTGTAGATGATACAGTTTACTAAAAAATACTCACCATGAATCACATCATCAGGCATTTGTTGAAATTCCTTTAATTCCTTAACGACAGCATTCAATGCCGAGCAGAAGCTTAGATGGCAACGAGGCTCCAATGCAGACAACCCTACCTATAGAGAACTTAAATTAAAACCCCAGCCGACTGATCAGCACTCAATTGGGAACCAGAGATATTTGAGTGAATATTTTAAATTGTGAAGCTAGTCATTCAATAGTTAGAGCTGTATGGCAGCATGAG